AACAGATTTCACTTGAACATTTTTCATTCCCCAGTTTCTAAAGATTGAATTTGTCTGATTTTCTGCAGTTTATGTGCAGAAATCTTTGCGCAAACATGTGATAAGTAATAACAGACACATCTTAGCAATATTAAAATGTCTCAATGTTTTTAAAACCTACCTGTCAATATCAGACATACACTTTTCCTGCTGTTGGATGGGAACCTTTTTAACTTTTTACAAGTTTTTAGTAAGAAAAAACAAAAAGTGTAAATGTTCTGCAGATTTTTCTGTAGATCATATATATGTCACCATTAAAATTCAACCGTTCAGCATGACCTCCAGTGAAATATGATAAACCTGAATGATAAACAAACAGGTTTTATCCTCAGAGCTTCTTAGTTCATGACCTTGACCTGAAAACGTCTCTGCAGTCAAACATTTACAGCCCACAGCAACATATTAAAGCACAACCTGCATATGCAGCTCAGGAAACTCATGAAAACCTTCATAGATGACATACTACACATTTATATTTCATCAATTTTTTTACATTGATCATTCTGATATTAATTTATTCTGAGGAATCTTTTTTTAAAACATTGCTTTATATCTGGATTTGCATGAATATTTAAACCGAATCTAAAGACCAGCTTTATTCCAGAAACCATCAATGTGAGCTATAGTTTATTATTTTATTCATTTCCTAACTTTTCCTCATTTTGTTTCATGGACCTAAACATAATAAGTATAAATATTTTCCTTCCATGGAACCGCAGAATAACCCTGTTCATGTTAACATTTACTGAGATTCTCTGAAACTCAGGTATCAATAATCAGCTGCAGGTATTAATGAACAACCTGACTGCTCTGACAACCATTTGAACTCCAGAAAAAGAGTTCAAAGCCACACACAAACTCTCTCCAATACATACGCACACATACACACACACCTGCCTCCGCCCCCCACACACACACATTAAAGAAACTGGATTGATGCACAAATTGAACTTGCATTTGACCTGCACCTGCCTTCTCAATCTGCTGCCAACCCCTCACACCAAGCTCCTCAGCACAACAAAAAACACTGAGACATAATGAAAACAAATGAAGTATAGGAGAAGGGGCATAAATAGAAAATTAGGAACGCCCGAGGGTTAATGACATTGACCTGAAAAAATCTCTGGAGTCATAAACATTTACAGCCCACAGCAACAGATTAAAGCACAACCTGCATATGCAGTTCAGGAAACACTTGAAAATCTTCAAACATGGCATAATACACATTTATATTTCATCCGTTTTCTTTTCACATTGATCATTTTATTTCTGAATATTTAAACAGAATCTAAAGACCAGTTTTATGCCAGAACAAATCCATATGATCTGTAGTTTATTATTTTACTCATTTCCTGTGTTTTCTCGTTTTCTTTCATTGACCTAAATATAAAAAGTGCAAAGATTTTCCTTCCATGCGACCGTAGAATAACCCTGTTCGTTAACATTTCCTGAGATTCTTTGGAAACTCAGGTATCAATAATCAGCTGCAGGTATTAATGAACAACCTGACTACTCTGTCTCCAGAGTAACATGGCGAAGGTGCAGGCACTCAGTGTGTCGCACTCAAAATAAATTAAACAAATAAACATTTTCTTTGTTCGAATTTAATAAAGCAATTTAAACTAAATTGTCTTGATATTTATGTTTCTTTGAACAATTAAATTCACTTTTTGTGTTTTTCCCTATGACAGAAGAACCTCCTGACCAACCAGTCCTGGTCACCAATCCTTCCTTTGATTCCTGATTGTTGGGGCAGGAAGTCTTCCTGGTGTCCTGCAACTTTTAGATACTTCAGCACACCTGGCTCCAATAGCAGCTCATCAACAGAGCTCTGCAGAGCCTCACTGCATGCCAGTGAGACAGTTAAATTAAAGTCTTTAGGTCAAGGGACACTGAAACTTGCAGGACTCGGGTCCTGGAGGAATGCAGACTGAGGCCACTGCCTAGAGGAACCAAAGCTAACGTTCTGTTTTCTCAGAGCTCACAGCTGAGACAATGTGGTCCCACAACATGCCTGATATAAGATGAGAGTTTTTATGGCAATCTTAATTATTCTACATCAACAAACGGCTGCAGTCAATTGCAACAACTGAATCAAGTTGATGATTCAGTTACATCTCTGTTTAGATGTAACAAAGATGTTACATCTTAACATCTCTGTTACTTTTTGACATTAGATGTTAAGTTGTAACAAATATGTTAAATCTTAACATATTTGTTAAAATGTAACAGAGCTAAACATGTCAGGCTATCCTACAGAGATCTTTCAAGATCATTTACAGAATTAGATTCTTTTGGTCTCGACACACAAGAGGCAACATCAACCTGTTCATTTATGCAAAGAGGAGAAAATTGCTTTTCCCTCTGCAGCCAAGTGAATGGAAAATTTGGACATGTGAATTTTCAGGCTTGTATTCATAAACTAGCATAGTGTGTGTGCTAGTGAGCACACACTAGGAAATATGAAAAAACGGGGCATTTTTTTAACTTTGTCAAGAAAGTTGAAAAATAACATTTTGTTCCTGTTGTTACTTCCTGCTTTGTATGGATCTATTTGTAACTTGGGCTTGTTAGGAATAAAATCCTAATTTCGTCAGATTAATATGTATCCTGGGACTTTTCACTGAAACATCACAAAGGATTCAAAACATCACAACTCAGAACACAAAAACAGGAAATGAATTAACAAGGACAGGAAGTACAAGCTAAATCCTTTTTCCAAAAAATGTCATCAGTGAAAATAATCCCTGATGCTGAAGTCATAAAGTAAAAATCACATCTTTGCTTTGATTTCACTGAAACATTATAGAGTCACTAGTGTATTATTGACAGGTCTGTCAGTGACTGTGTATAAGAGCAGCTGTTTCCAGGACCTCCAGACAGAAGAGCTGAAGCTTGTCTGACGCTGAAGTGAAGGAAAAAAGGTAATTTTGATTCTGCTTTGGTAAAAAGATTTGATCTAACTTTTTTATTGAGTTGAGACTGTTTGTGTTGTTGAAGGTGATCTTCAATGACTCTGAATGTTCTGATGTTTCTTTGAGCTTGTTACACTGCATTATGTAATAATGTAATACAATTGGGTTTCATAATTAGTTATATATTGAATTATTTATTATTATAATGAACTATAGTTAAACAACACATTTTACTGTATATTCACAAAAACTAATCAAGAAGAGCCTTTGCATTCAGATCATCGACCATTTCAGATTTTATGTACTTTCTTAAAATCCCTCAAATATTAAGTCCTTTTTTAAGCCAGAAGGGCAAATTATTTCAACAAAGTTGATGGAAGAGCAGGAGAACATTTTTGGAAATTTCTACTAAAACTCTCAGAAAACAGTAAATGGTTGCAAAACATGATTGAAATAATTTTGCTACAGATGAATTTGAGGTGGCTCTCATCCATCAATTCAACCGCAAAATCCATGCAAGCCGCATCTCCAGTTATATTAATGTTACATTTTATTTTGCATTATTTGTGCAATTGAGACTCATTATCCAAAGTTCAGAAAGAAGTAAAATGTAAAATGAAGAAACCAAGCTCATTTTTCATCAGGTGATGTTTGATTTAGATTCCTGATCATCAAGGTGAGGGGACACATCAGCAGGTATAAATAACGGAGTCTGAAACGTCGGAGACACAGAGGAGAAGCAGAAGTTTGGAATCAAGTTCATTCCAGCTGCAGGTGAGAGATGAACACATGAATTCATTTACAACTGAGTTTGTCCACTAAAGTTTCTCTATGTTTTACATTAACAGGGAATTTCATTGTGCTGCAAGTCAAACTCCAGATTTTCATCAAGTTTGATCAATTTATCCAGATCAACAGTAAAGATGAAGGTAAGCCTGTAACTTGCACTGTAAAAAATAAAAAATAATTCATCTATCTTTATTTATTTTAACAAGGAAAGGTATTTTTAATGTTTAAAATCTTGTTAACAACAAATGACCAAAATAAAAATCAGCGCAGAGACATTGTACATAAAATGTACAAATTATGAAACATCAATAATGATTAGAATATGAACACAAACAACAACAAGATATTTAACTATGTAGTCAAAAAATGTAAAAATTAAACAACTTCTAGTGAGTTTGTTAATTATTTAAAATGTTTGATATTTTGTTCAGTCACTGAAATGTTGAGTAAATTTGAGTGTTTAAATTTATCCAAACACTCAATGCATGTAAACACTGTACATAGTTTTGGCTCTGGAAATAACATTTGTTAACAGGACTGATGAAATGAGTTGTTAAAAAATGGAGGATCAAACCAACCAGAAACCTTTGTTAAGGCAGAATTCAGCATAATTCTGACTGAAAATCTGGCAGCACAGCTTACAGGCCACATGCAGGACAAGATCAGGGATCAGGTTTAATCTGAAAATGAACGTTAATCAGAGTTTCTCTGATGATGTTCAGAAGGTGTCATGTTCTGTCTTCCCAGCTGTTATCACTTCTCTTCCTCCTGGCTCCACTGCTGATCAGCTGTGAAGCGGCTGAGGACCAACTGCCACGTGATTGATGACATCTACAATACGACAAGAAACTTCCCAGTGGAGTTTACATCATCTATCCAATGGATATTCATCTGCTGTTCAGGTGAACTTTATGTTTGGTTTGTTCATAAAAATGAAGATCCAGATTAAAGTTCTGTGCAGGACCAAGACTGGAGGTTTATCTGTTAACAATGCTGAGGATGTTTTACTTAATCTTCATACACATTACATAAACTGACTGTTTGAAACTGAACTTTCTTGATGTTTAGTATCTTGTTTCAGTTCAAGCTCCAGTTTTTTCTTCCTACAACCAAATCAGTTATTCATGGAGAAGAAATTTTATTTAATTATACGTTCACTTATTAGTGAGGCAATGATAGTATTTATTTTTCCACATAAAGTGTGACATTGCATTACATAATAAAAACTGTATCAAGTCATGAATGTGTTTGTGTGAAGGCTTACTGCGACATGGACTCAGAGGGAGGACGCTGGACGGTGAGTCCATCTCTACATGAACTCTCTCTGTTTACACTTCAACTTGGTTTATCTCAGGATTCTTGGGGGTTTTCATCCAACAAACATCAAGTTCTGTTGAAAGAAGAGTCTTTATTTGTCCTTCCATTTTCACCTGCCTGAGATAAGATTTGATCAGTTTTGTCATGTTAAAATTGATTATTGATACCAATTCAGAGTTGGTACAACCCACTTTTTCACCCTGAGTGTGTCAGTGAGAACGTTGTTCACTTCTTGATCAGATTCCTTTGTTGTTCCAGGTTTTCCAGAGGAGGATGGATGGCTCTGTAAACTTCTACAGACCCTGGGCGGAGTACAAGAGAGGCTTTGGAAACGCTGCTGGAGAGTACTGGCTGGGTGAGACACCGACCTAAACAGTTAGTCAATGTATGGTTGGTTTATTTACTTAAGATATTTATAAACATAGTTATAGCCACATTTTTCAACACCTGTTTATTGTCTCGACTTTCTATTTACTATTGTGTTACTAAGTGATGGTGTGCAGGTGCAGGTCAAAAACTGTGAATATTATGGAAAAGTTTATTTCAATCAGTAATTAATTCAAAAAGTAACATTTGTATGTCATATTAATTCATTTCATACAGCTTGATATATTTAAAATGTTTACTTCTTTAGTGTTGATTTGTTTCTGACAACTCATGAAAAACTACAAATTCAGTATTTCAGAAAATTTGAATATTGTGAAAAAGTTCAATATTGCAGAGCTCTGGTGCTACACACTAATCAGTTTAAGTCAAAACACCTGCAAATGCTTCCAAATGGTCGCTGAGTCCAGGTCTGTAGGTTATTCAATCATGGGAATGACTGCTGACCTGACAGTTGTTCAAAAGATGACCTTTGACCCCTTGCACAAGAGGGCAAGACAGAAACATCACAGCTAAAGAAGCTGGCTGTGCACAGAGCTGTTTTCACACACATTCATAGAGAAGTGAGGCGGGAAAAGATGTAGTGGAAAAGAATTGGACAAGCAATCAGGATAACTGCACCTGGAGGGGATTATGAAACAAAACCATTTAGAAATGTAGAGTCGGCTGCAGATGGAGTCAGTGCTTGAAGAACCACCACACACAGATATATGCAACATAGATTTCAGCTGTTGCTTTCCTTGTGTCGAACTGATGCTGATGCTGATCTTGAAGAAGAACCTAAACGTCGTAGAAAATCTGTCTTATTGTGAAGAGGAAGACGCGACAGTCAAGACCCAACAAGAGCTGCAGATGTTGGTCAGAGCCATGTGGGTTCTCATATCACCTGAGCAACACCACAGAGTGATCGACTCCATGCCACGGTGCATTAATGCAGTGATCTGGACAGTAATGTGTGTGCAAAAATCTCAGTAAAAATCCAACTTTAATAGTTTTCATGTCTGTGCAGGTCTTGATACATCCATGAGTTGACAAGGTTTCAAGACTGTGAGCTGATGGTCGATATGGAGGACTTTGATGGAAACAAAGCTTTTGCCCGTTACTCTTCATTTTACATCTATGCTGAGTTTGAGGGTTACCTTCTGCATGTGAGTGGTTTCGACAACAAAGGGGGCGCTGGTGAGTCAGGAGAAAAAACACATTCTAACTTTACTAGTCAGGATGAATTTATGGATGGATGGAATGATGCCCATCACTAATTATTCCTTTGTAAAATAAATAATTCAACTTGTGCTGGGTCTGAAAGTCGTGCAGTGAGTCTGGAAATGTAGAGCAAGGCACTGAGCATGGATCCTGGTGTGTAATATACACCAGGAGTGTATTACTATACACTCCTGGTGTATAATAATAATAATAATAATAATAATAATAATAATAATATAATATAATAAATAATAATAATAATAATAATGATGATGATAAATTAAAAAAGCTAATTTACTGTAGTTAGACAAATCAGGATTAAGAGAAATAGACCTTGATTGGATTAAATGTGTTGTGTCAGTTTTATCTAAATCCAGAGTTTGTTCTTATGGTTCTGAAGCAGGAAGATTGATGTTGGTAGTTAACAGCACAAAGTAAATTTAATTGATCTCATTAATAATATCACAGTAAGAGATTAGCATAACTCATAATTTTTTTCACAAACATTATCAACTTTTCACAAAGTCAGCATTTTTGTTAAATATTGAAATTACAATTTTATTGATGTTGGATCACGCAGAATTTGTATTTTTTTTTTCACTATTCAAGCTTTCAACTGAATGTCTGTTTATTCATATAGTTTTTGTATCCTATTATTTCTGCAGGAGACAGCCTTTCCTATCACGACCAACAGAAATTTACCACTTTTGACAAAGACCAGGATGAGTTGAGCGGCAACTGTGCCAAAAAATATCTCGGTGCTTTCTGGTACAATCAGGGTCACAATGCAAACCCTAACGGGTTTATCGCTGGGGGGCTGACAACACACTCCATTATATTGGAGTGGAATGGTCTGCATGGAAGGGAGTTAATTACTCCCTGAAGAGCATCAGCATGAAGATCCGTCCTCTCATTTAAATCTGCAGGTCAAACATCCAGCAAAAAATAATGAGTTGCTTTTTCTTATAATCAACCATCAACTTTTAGCTTCAAACATGAGTCAAAAGTTCACTTGATTACTAATAAATATAATCCAGTTGATTAAATCATTGGTGAGAGTTTGCTACCTGTAATCAATTCATCTCTGATAATAATAAATAAGATGCCAGCAGCATATTTGTGTGTCTGTATTTTTTTATATGTAAAAATTAAAATAAGCCAGTTTTAAAACACAAATTGGGCCAAATGGAAACATTTTTAGAATCAAACCTCCTGGTTAAATGCAATTAATTGAAAAACAACCAGGTCTTCCATAATTCTAAATTTTATGCTCAACTGTGTCAATGTCAACATCTATGTCTATTTAATGATCTGTTTATGTCACTCCCAGAGAAAATAAAGTATATTTGGTGTTAGCTAAGACAAAGAAATGGAGTGTAATTTGATTTTTATCAGAAAACAATCAGGAAGTGAAACAAGAACAGCAGAAAGTCATCAATTTGTTTTTTCTTGCAATAAAATGTAAAAAATAGCACAAGAACTTGATCTAATAATATCAGGAGAACAATAAAATATTTATAGTTTGACCATTTATAATGACCATATGATGTGCGTCAATGTGTTGAAAAAACAAATTACATAATTTTTAGACTCTGGAGATGTGTTGATTGATTTGATCAGGTTGAAGAAAGTTTTGTTATTATATGAAGTGAAAGACTCACTGAATGCTCAGGCGTAGTGGATATTATACAATTCACTAATTGTTCCTTTTCTGATACATAGTGCAGATGTTTGGGGAAATGCCTGTAATAATATCAAATTCTATTTTTACTTTTGCAAATTATAGAAATTAAAAGCAGAAAATGCTGCAGAGCTCCAACAAATGCATTGTGCTTCAACTTAAAATTGATATTTATTGGTGGACTACTATATCCAAAGTAATGGAATGAGTAGTTTGAATGTTAATGGAAACTCCAGGTGTAATCTGAAAAGAAAAAAGTAATTTTGTTAAATGACTTTTAAGTTTTGATTATCAAGAAACTGGTGTTGGGTCTATTTTGGTTCCCAACCTGCAAAGAATCAACCAAAGACACAAATTACTTTTCTACAACCGTCAAACACCGTGTTGTGTCTCCTCCACCGGCTCTCAACTGCCTTTTATTATGTTTACAAGAAAAAAGGTTGGGCTTTTTCACACAGTCACACAAACAATTGATCAATAACCTTAACCACAAGATGTTTTGGGACCTTCTGTGAACATGCCCTTACCTGGACACAAGGCTGACCGTTATACCTGTGTTAACAGGTAGTGTTGATACAGCTACCTGTGTTATTACCTGTGTATTATTATAATAATAACAACAACAACAATAATAACAATAAATAAATAATAATAATAATAATAATAATAATATAATAATAATAACAGGTAGCTGTTAACACAGACAGCTAATGATCAAAGCAGCTGGTATCACAAGCATGTATAAACATTTCCAACCCCCAAGCAAACTTCTGAAAAACAGTTAATATTGTACCACAAAAGAAAGGAGTCAAGTAAACAACACACAGAATAATAATATAAAAACATACCTTTCAAATAAACTCATAAGTAAATGAACTTAGACAATTTTTCTAAAAACTGGTCATGGGTCATTCTTTCAGAAGCTATTCATGCATTTTAATAACTTGGGAAGTTGCATATGGATCCATATGAATGAACCAGCTGGGCCTCAAACCCGAATTTGTATTTTTTCCAAGCTTATATGTGCCAACAATTTATTTTATGGTTTGATTGCAAACGCAACATGTAGTGCATTAATGTAGTGCATTAATACTAATTGAAAACCCTGCATTTTTTCAACAGTCTTATAAACAATTAAAAAGTATGGGATATATTGGTATAATTAGCCTTTTAAACATATAATTGAACCAAATCTCCAGTTTATGTTCATTTTTTGTGATATTTTCACAATGAAGCTGCAAAGGTCTGGAAGAATTTTTTATCTTTCAGTGCAAATATAAACTTTAAATGTTCTTAACTTTCATTGCAACTGGAAAGTTTTTGCAGCATAAATGTTGTATATCTGAATATTTAAGATAAAACAATAGGAACAGTTTTAAAGCCTGCAACCATATATATTGAATGACTGATATATATAGTACAACCATTATCTAGGAAACTTGACACCTCATAACTGACATTGGAAAAAAGAATTGAATGAACAGATTCACCAAGCGGTGACTTGCTGAGTGAAAGTCGCAAATCTTCCAAGTCATGCTGTTTCAATTTGACCTCTTACTCAGCATCAGTTCCCAATTTATGGACTCGAAATTTGAAATCAACTCTGCTTTATGTACTTCCTCTCCTCTTGTGCTTCCATCTGAAGGCGAGGTAAAGGCCAAGGAGGCAACTGAGGTTCTGCAACCATTTGGGCAAAGCAAGACAACTTTATTTATTCATCTCCTTTCAGCCAAAGACTATTCAAAGTCCTTGTACAAGAAAGTAAAAAACAACATTCAGCAAGAAGATAGTCACAAAATAATAATAAATAAATAAATAATAATAATAATAATAATAATAATAATAATAAATAATAATAATAATATAATAATAATAAAAATTTTAGTAAAAGATCAAGCAGAAAAATAGAGAAAGTAAATTTTAAACATAGTAAACGAGTAGAAGTTAAAAATTAAGAAAAGGCTAATTCAAAGAAGGTTTTAAATAAACTCAAGGTAGGCATAGTCTTACAATGTGATTAGTATTAGTGTAAGCATTAATTCTTTAAGATAACATACAAGTTATACTAATTAATTTCCCAGTGATTG